AAATGTTATCCGACATTATGTTAAAGTAGAACTAAGGGGAAAACTTTTTAGGTTTGGATAGCGGAGTTTTTCTTTTTGTTTTTTCGCTGTCTGCATTCCCGTTAGGACTCTTTCACGAAGGTGTTGAATTTGAAAGCAGTCTTTCACACGAATTAACACACCAATAGTGTTACACAGATTCAATCAATGTATACCCTTACCCTTTTTAAACCCTCAAAAAGTCAATACTTTCTCCCTAGAACGTGCAATAATACATATACAACCTTTTTGTGAATTACAAAAATAAATAAAATAAATAAATAAATTGATTTTAAACATATAATGTGCAACAAAGTCCCACTAATCAAAAAGTGTCCAAAAAGAAAGTCCAAAATAGTGTCCACAAATATCCCAAATATATTCACTCTTTTCATCCACTGAAAGGATTGGCTGCTATTTCATCCAAAACGCACCTCGAAGTAAAAAATATAATAATATCTAGTGCATTACCTCAATATAATAATAATAATAACAATAATCACCCTGTGCAACCAAAATACACTTCAAAAAACTTTTTGTGCAAAAAAAAAAAAAAATATATATATTTTTTTTTTTATAGTGCATATAATCACACACATCAAACTGTGAGCACTCTGTGGTCACTGCAATCCAGTGTCCACCATCAACCAACACACAGCAGTACCAAATACCACCACCCTCTATGAGCATTGAAACGCTCAAACAACACTATGGAAAAGTATTCCTCCACATTATCTTCCAAGAAATTTTTTTCCAAGGTCCTCAGAGAGACAAGAAGGGTCTCAGGACTGGTATTCCAAGCATAGGGATAACTTTTTATTCATCACTTACATTAAGATTTAAAATATCAGCTCCAGACATGGTTTCAAGCTTTTCCAACCAAACACCATAGAAAACCATGTGTTGAAAACCAACAAAATGGCCGCGGCGACACCCCCGGTCCACGCACGCGCGTCCCGACGTCACTCCCCCAACGCGCCTCACCACCTCCGGACTTCATCTGAAGGGATGCATAGGCTTTTTTGAGTTTGGGCAAGGACACTGACATCCCCAGTGACACCAATACAGTGATCAGTGCTAATAAAAAGTACTGGCACTGTACTAATGACACTGGGCAGGAAGAGGTTAACATGTGGGGTGATCAAAGGGTTAACTGTGTGCTGTTCGGGTTTTACTATGTGTTGTGTGTCTGTGCTTCACTGTAAGCACACTGCTTTGCATGTCTCTACTATGTTATGCAGAGCCATGCAAAACAGTGTGTAGGAGCTGACAGGGGAGAGAACTGTATTGTTTAATTACAGTTCTCTCCCTCTGTCGGCAATGCTCCTCGATCACCAGGTGCCAGCGTGTAATCACCGGCTGGAACCCAGTAATTGACAGCCACCACCCTACCTGGAAATGCAAAATCGCATATGTATACGTGATTTTGCACACCCATGCCGCCCTGTAGCAGTATTACTGCTATAGGGTGGATGGGAAGTGGCTAAACATGCTGTAAACACCATAGGCATGTTTACAGTGCGTCTACAGTGCGCTTGTGGCACATTTAAAAAGAAGTGGATGGAGATGGTTGAACTCTGCAGGCAGCACCCTGATACAAGACAAAACTAACACTGCACCTGCATCTGCTCCCTATTTAAAAAATTTTGAATAGCTTTGACAGGCAGTTGGAAAGCGGTAAAAACACAACCAAGCAACTATTTTCACCGCCTGTGTTTAAGATTCCTTAGGGAGCTTCACCCTCTCTATTTGTCCTGATGAATATTATCACTGATAGTCAAAGGAAAATGAAAATTGAAAAAAATAATCCCAAAGTCTGAGCTGTCTCCAAAACAGGAATAAAGGGGAAATCTTCCTATGGGGACATCAGTTTTAGAGACCCTAGTAACAATGAGGAATTTCCCTTTCTGTGGCTATGGGAAAGGAACTGAATGGAAATTTCCCCAATGGTACACAGATGGCAAAAAACATGTCAGAGGTTATAACCCTCCCTTACTCTATCCAAAATGTAGAAAAAAAAGTTGGCTTTAGTTGTTCTTTAATGTGAACTGAAAGGGTGACTAGTCTGATCCCGATTTGATCAGATGCTTTTAAGGGCAGAGAGGAATGATCTGGAGTCTAATAAACACCAGATGTCTCAGTAAACAGTGCCTGTCACTGCCCATGCTATCACAAGGGATGTTGTTAAATTTAGCAATAAAAGTGATCAAAAAAATTTAGAGAAAGCATAGAAATAAAAAGTTAACTAAAATAAATAATAATAATAAAATTTAAAGCGTCCCTGTCCCCTAGACCTTTGTGCAAAGGTAAACGTATACATAGGTAGTGCACACACATGTAAATGGTATTTGCACCACACATGTGAGGTATCGCTGCAAACATCATAGCAAAAGCAATATTTCTAGCACCAGACCTCCTGTATAACTCTACAATGGTAACCTGTAAAGGCTTTTAAAGTGTCACCTATGGAGATTTTTAAGTACCATAGTTTGTCATCATTCCATGAGCATGCACAATTTTAGAGCGTGACATGTTAGGTATATTTTTACTTGGCATAACATAATCTTTTATATTTTACCAAACAATTTGGTATTATATTGTGTTTGTGCATTAAAATTCATTAAAGAGCATAGTTTCCCAAAAAATTGCATTTGAAAACAATACTGTGTGACAAAAAATTGCAACACCCACCATTTTATTTTTTAGGGCCTCTACTAGAAAAAAATAAATAAATATATACATATATGTATATATATATATATATATTATATTATATACCGTATATATAAAATATATATGTTGCCATATACACTCCACTTTCATTTCCCGCAGGACACATTCTCACTGTTTTGTTTGGTGCATTGCATTATTGAACATGCATGTTAATCTGCACTGAATAAAAATGATACTAAACACACATTGGCTTTGATTTACTAAACCTGGAGAGTGCAAAATCTGGTGCAGCTCTGCATAGTAACCAATCAGCTTCCATCTTTTATTGCCAAATCTTAATTGAACAAGCTGAAGTTAGAAGCTGATTGGCTACCATGCACAGCTGCACCAGATTTTGCACTCTCCAGGTTTAGTAAATCAGCCACACTGTTTAATTTACAGTTTACAGATGATAGCGCTGTATTTTAATTTTAAAAAATCTAAAAAGCTTTTTCATAATCGATATACAGCTATCATGTGACCTAGCTCTTTCCCAGCCTATCTGCAGGGAAGCTTCAGTGGGAGGATCTTCAAGTCCTCTGCTGCTGGTCACATGTTCATAAAAATACAGAGGAATAGAGAGGAAAAAGACATAATAATATCATATAAACATTTTAAATCATCATACAAACATACAAATATGTATTCGTATTTTGTAATATATTCGTAAATATGTAATATGTATTTTGTGCAAAACCTTGGTGTGGGCTATCTAGGGGGAGGTTCTGCCAATCACAGCCTGTTTCACGCCCTTCCAGCCTGTGTCTGTTGTTTGTATGTTCTTAGAATTACAGGGACATAATACCTCCATCAATCAATATGTAATATTGTACCCCCATTGTGTTTAGCTGTTTAGTGGGCATGGAGGAGAGAGGGAGTGGGTTGCCATTTATATCAAGAGTGTATATGCCCACTTTTGTGACTCTATAGTCATGTGGGTTGCGCAGATAAGAAAATGGAGGAATTGAACAGGTTAGAAGGGAACTGAAACTGGAGCATGCTCAGTAGATGTGGCAACGACTGGTCGACACAATCTCTGGCTGCAGTTGGGACACAGACAAGGAAAGAGGGGCAGTGAACTAAGGGATCAACCATTTTTTTTGCAGAATACAGAAAATTAATCCTGTAGTGACTGAGTGAGTATGAACAGCATGCAATACAGTACAGACAGTTTTTAATGACAGCCCATGCAAATAAATGGGCAACCAAAGCACTAGAACAGGCAAAAACAAAACATGAGGACATGCAGTATTTTTGTCTGCTGCAGCACACCACAATGCACAGTAGTAGTAGTGTGTCGTGGTGTGCTGTAAGACATGTACATCAGAAGTGCATTGCCTTAGTGTGTTGGGGTATCATTCAAAACAAAGAACACAGAAAAATTGGAACACCTATAACGTGTGCTGTGGTATTGTGTAATTTGCCTCAATGTACTGTAATGGAGAAGTGAAAATGGGCCCTGAATGAAGTGAAGCTTCAAGTCCTTAATCGTGTGCAGGTAAAAATTCTGTTTTTCCTTTTTGTAGAACATGGAATGTTTATTTCAGTCACCACAAATAATGCTGGCCTTTCACCTGAATATTTCCATCTAACTAATTCCTCCATCCTCGCAAACAGCATAGATGGTGGATCCTTCCTGCTGGTGGACCCTTCATGAATTATGACATCTGGTGCCGCCAGCTGTCAGAATACCCACAAAATTCCTGTATCTGATTGGTTGGAGGCACTGTTGGTCTGCCAAAAGTCAATAGGATGATCAACTTTTGTTAAACAGATTGGTTCCGTCAGGGCCATACGCTGCTTGAAGGTTGGCTGATCCAACAGGAACCTGCTGTAATTCAAGCAGTGTATGTCTACCTTATACCTTCATTATTCTTTTTGTGAACCATTCTCGCAAAGAATGACCAGCTTACTGGAGTTGGCCAAGTTAGTCTAGGATTTCAGATTCCAGAGGACTTCAGGTTACCACATAAGATTTTCAAATGTGTTGTATGATGTGCTTCTTTGTTTTATCAGATGCCGGAAAAGTATTTTGTCTTATGCGATGATTTATCAATAATATAAAGCCTAAAGTATGTACATCCTCCTAGCGGATCTTTTCTTTTTGTTAATTAAAATATCTACCCAGAGTTTGTTCATAGTAAGATTTCTAATTTGCACAAAATATTATATTTTATGCGAAAATTGTTGACACTATATCAATCCTGCTTAATAATAATAATAATAATAATAATAATTTAATTGCCAATTTAAAGTCTTGCTAAACCCAGGACCCTACATCCACTATATCTGGTCTCCCACAGTACACAGAACATGGAAGTGCAATTATTTTAGTAAATATAAACTGCTAAATATCTTTTCTCATGAGCAGTTAGAGCAGTCTTGTAACTTCTATCAGTGATCAGCAGAACACTGGTTAAAGCTTGTAGGAGGAGTTTTCATTCTTCCCTATGAGACTGCAGGACCCCTGACCCTCTGTCTGGACAGTGCTGATAGGCCCTGTGCTGATCACATGCACTCTCCAAAGAAAAAAAAAACCTCTCTAGCAATACACATCAAACTGAGCATGTGCAGAATGACTCCACACAATATGTCTTATCAGGAGATAAGAGGGGGGCACTGGAAGAAGGGGAGGATCAGAGAGGTCAGGATCAAACAGCGTTTTTACACAATACAGAGAATTAACCCCTTAGGTTCCACAGTGAGCATATCAAGCATGCATATACAGACTGATTTTACTGTTGTAGGTTTAGTAACTCTTTCATTTTAAAAGAAGTCAGACACACCCCTAGTTGTCAGTGTGGCAAACCATGATACATACAATATGATGGTATAGCTGCACACACTGTATGTCATAATTGATGCTGGACCTTGACAGCTTTTTCTGATAACCATGGTGACAGTTACAATTTCCAGGGACAAATCTTTAAAAATCTGGGACCTTTAATGGACACATTAGCAACCATTAGTGTTTTGGGTTTAGTTTTTTCTGATCACTTAGAAAATACTATTAAAATATTTCAAGACATGATAACAATTTCTATCAAACTTTGCAGCATCTTTGTGTACATCAGATGAATATAATTCATGTGTGGGTATCAGATCAGGCTACTACACAGTATACAGTGAAATAAATGAACATTGGAAAGCTTACCTAGCACATGGTGAGTGAACTCAGACAGGCTGCATTGCTTCTATGCATTTTGACAGGCAGAACCTACAGGTGCTATAGTACAGACTCTTATTTTTAAGTGATGCTTTATTTTTTAAAGCTGTGTTCAGCCTCCAAAAGCCACAGAATCCACTTCCTGAGCATTAGGACTTAGAAATTAGAAATCTTGTGTGAGCTTGGCTCAGCCCTCCTGTGTGTTCTCATGCCTTGCAGTGTCTGGATTACACAGACTGAAGGGTGACCGGACTGAAACCTCCGCGCTCTCAGGCCGAGAATACATCAAAATTCAACCCCCCCTTCAACTTCCGTAATGACAGTCACAGATTTGGCAAACAGATTGAGTGCAGAAACTGAAAATAAGTGGCTGCTCTATGTGGGAGATGGAGGTCCTTTACAATCCAACTATTCTACCAATCATGTCCATGGATGACAATTTCAAGGCCAACTCCAGACAACTTTTTCTTTTAAATTTTTGGATAAAGTAGTGAAGAGTTAAGATTTCACTTTCAATAGATTTCTATTGAAGATTTTAAACAATGTTAACAGAGTTGTAGAAAATGTTGCAACATACATTAGAAAACCGGGTATAAAGTCAGAGGTGAATCATATATACGGCAATGTTCCTAGTAACAATGGACCTTGAAGGCTTAGGAACCCAAGGTGTAGTGAACCAGGGGTCTCCAAACTATGGTCCATGGACCGCATCTGACCCACAATAAGATTTGATTCAACCTGCAGCTAAGGTCAGTGCCATATCCTCAATGTGTGCAGATTGATTAATCAGATCTGCATTGGCTGTCTATGGTTTCTGCTTTTCCCACCAAACCCCTGCCTCCAAAGTTTCCAGTGCAGGTTTCCTTCTGCTGCACTGTCATCATCCTCGCCTTTGAGTGCTAGGATCGTCAATGTCCTAGCAACCAATGATATGCTTGCCCCAGAATTCACAGGGGGACGGGACTTCCTCTGTCTAGATCTGCTTCATCTCCTGCATGCACTGTTGTTACAGCCATGTTGTAAGCCTTAAATTGGTAAGGGGGGCTCTGATGTGAAGGGGCACTCTGGTGGGGTCCCTGATGTAAGGGGGACTCTGATGGAGACCCTAATGTAAAGGGGAACTCTGATGGGGATCCTGATATAAGAGGGGAATCTGATAATGACCATCAGGGATGGGGTCCCTGATGTAAGGGTGGACTTTGATGGAGATCCTGATGTAAAGGGGAACTCTGATGGGGATCCTGATGTAAGGGGGGAATCTGATAATGACCCTGCTGTAAGGGGGATTCTGATGGGGATACTGATTTAAGGGGGGACTTTGATGTAAGGGGAGCACTGATGTAAGAGGGGGCTCTGATGGGGATCCTGATATAACGGTGGATTGTGATGGAGACCCTTCGGTAAGGGGGATTCTGATGAGGATACTGATGTAAAGGGGAAATCTGATGGGGAACCTGATTTAATGAGGCACTCTGATGTAAGGAGGGCTCTGATGTACGGGGGGACTCTGCTGTAAGAGGAGCTCTGATTGGGACTCTAATATAAGTGGGACTCTGATGTAAGGGGAGCTCTGATGGGGACCCTAATGTAAAGGTGGCTCTGATGTAAGGGGGGACTTTGATGGAAACCCTACTGTAAGGGTGACTCTGATGGGATGTTGATTTAAAGGGAGCCTCTGAGGCTGGCTGTGATGTAAGGGGGACTCTGATAGGGACTTGATGTGGAGGGGGACTCGTTCTTTAATGAAACTGAGTTTTTTTTTGGCTCTCTAATGTTTGTAAAATATACAAAAGTGGCCCTCGTACTGAAAGGTTTGGAGACTCTTGCAGTAGACAAACATGTAAATGGTCCCAGAAAAAAATATAGGGGAAGGAGAATGGGATTTGTGTGGGAAATGAAAGCAGGGGGAGAATGTGGTGCCTCTCAAAAACTCAATGGAAAGAAAGAGAATATAACAGAAAGGTATGAGAATATAGAGACGGGTAGAAAATACCCTAGACATAGACAAAAGAGAGTGAGTTATGGGTGCGTGACAATAATCCAACTAGTTTTTATCAAAGTTTTTTTTACCAATTTATTACAATAAAGTTACATTGGATACAAGTAATTACAATGAACTTGACATTGACAGCATGCTTGACTGTTTCCTGCAGTGCACTGATGGTGCTTCCCTACATGTTTCGCCCATCCTGGGCTTCCTCAGAGGAAGAAATAGGCTATCTGCAATACAGTCTAAAATTGTATCAAAAACATGAATCAATCAGACATAATTATACCATATCCATCAGACTAGAACATTTGAATTTGTATAATCCTGAAAGATTAATTGTCCCGAAAGCTATGAGCCCCCTGCTTACCCTTAGGACTATGCTGCCAACATCATTCATTCAAACAAAAAAACAACAAATCTGAATCAAAGGCCCAGGTGTCCCTGTGATTGCAGAAGGCACATAAAGGACTGAGTGTCTACCAAAACAGGATATTAGGTTATGGGGGTGAAGGGGGTGGACGGGGTAAGGGAGGGGGGGCACTTGAGATCTCCATAAATTTCTCCCAGGAATCTCCTACAGAAATAGCTTTCAGGTGAGAGGGAGGGGTGAGAGTATTGGATCCATAGAGTCCACATGGCAGTAATTTTTTTATGGGTATCCAAGAGGATACTGGTGAGTTTCTTGTTAATAAAAACAGTATTCACACATTGCCATACCTATGTGAATTGTGTCAATTGTGAAGAGTTAGGCTGGCCATAAATGGATCGAAATTCATCCAGTTCAGCAGGGAGAGGCCAAATTTTGATCCACTTGGGCAAGGCTGGTTGTACTTAAGTTGATCTATCAGTTTGGTAAACCAGCCTCTCTTTTTTTTTTCATACGATCACTGCCAATTGCTATAGAGGCAGGGTAATGCCTGATGTCAAAATACAATAGTGTAGTGGGAGGGATTCCCCCATCAACACTGACTGTGACAATCAAGTGATTTTCTTTCCTTTAACCCATGGTTGAAGAAAAGAAAATTGCATAATCTATGGCTCCCTGGAGTCTTCTGACTCCAAAAGAGAGATTTTCTCTTAGGCTGGTCATACACTGTAGTATTTCATTCGAAAAGTTTTTGTTGCATTTGTATAATTTTCTAATTGTTTGTTGGGTCAAATCAACAATTATTTTTTATTTTATTGATGGCAAAATACAAAGGAGCAGAATGGATTTTTTTTGTTTTCAAAATAACAAAATTCTAATTTGTACATGTTGTTATGTGCATGCTGTAAGCACAAAAGAAACCTGTTTAATACACCTGAAATTTCAATTTGAAGGGCTTTCAAACAAAACCAGTTGATTGATGGCAATGTTGAATGCGGTAATGAACATTTTTCTGAATTTCCATTGGAACATTTGACTTAAATTCAACTGGTGTACGGCCATCTTCACTTCCTGTCCCTTTGATGCCCATACAAGAATTACAACCAGTGTGACTGTCACTGCGACAGGAAGGAACAGCCAGCAATAGTATTATACAATGTCCTAACCCTCCCTTGCTTTACTAAAATGTGTTTAAGGTTTTGTTTCAGTTCCCATTGCAGACATTCCCCATCAATCACTGTGCCCAGTAGAGGCCCAGATGGCAACAGTACCCAGAGTGAGGCTGTTAGCCTTCCCTGCTCTATTCAAAACACAATTAAACATTTTGGTTAGAGTTGGGTTTAGAGTTGAACTCCAGAAAAATAGGAAAATGCACAGATAAAATGGGAGCTGTTATACCTGCCAAAGGTATTCATGTTCATCCAGTCCTGAGATATACACAGCTCTGCCACATAGCACGTTCCTGCCTGTTTTTATCTCTGCTGCAATTCAGTAAACCTACAGGTCTCCCCCCCTCTCTGTGATTAAACATAGTTACTGTACATAGTTAGTCTGGCTGAAAAAAGACAAAAGTCCATCCAGTTCAACCATTAAAAAAAAAATGTATAATCCTACAACCACAGTTGATCCAGAGGAAGGCAAAAAAACCCAGCAAAGCATGATCCAATTTGCTCCTGCAGGGAAAAAAATTCCTTTGTGATCCCCCGAGAGGCAATCGGATATTCCCTGGATCAACTTTACCTATAAATGTTAGTATCCAGTTATATTCTGTGTATCTAAGAAAGAATCCAGGCCTTTTTTAAAGCAATCCACTGAGCTGGCCAGAACCAACTCTTGAGGGAGTCTATTCCACATTTTCACATCTCTTACTGTGAAGAAACCTTTCCATGTTTGGAGATTACATTTCTTTTCCTCCAGACATAAAGAGT